CGGAAACAATGTCGGAAGGATCATATATGGGCGAAAACACAATAGTCATGTATCAAAAGTGGACAAAGTGAAAGATGTGGATTAAATGTTGAGTTGACCTAAAACTCGTAGGATCAAAAATGGAATTTATTCCTAAAATATGGGTTACCAACCGGACTATTACTATAAATAACTAAAACGCTGCACCATAAATATAGCATTCCTAATCGAGTTTTCTTACCTCCACTTTTTGACCTTTTGATTCAAATAAAATCTTCAAATAGTCCAACACTAAACTAGAGCAGATATACAATCAATGCTGTTAAAGATGTAACACGTAATATTGCGTCCAGACTAAGTTTCAAGCTAGAATTAAACGATACGTAAGCATGAGAAGCCATTTTGTACGTTTTACTTAATGATGATACATGTGTGTATTCATAACAAAAAGAAATGTACTATCTTCCGTTCCATAATTCTTGCAACAGTTTGACTTTCACGTTTGCTAATGCACAACTTTGTCTGTATTAGTAAACATTATAAAAAAGTTGATATTTTGGAAATTCACATTGATAAGAGTTCAATAACATTTTATACGTAATAATTTGATTATGTATATTAGTAGAAAATCATGGTCAAAGTAAGATCTGTGAATAGTGTAAAAATCACAATGTTGCAAGAATTATGGAACGGAAGAAGTATTAGTATAGGACCTGAATGATGAAATACTATCAATTTAGATCCTAACATTTTATAAGGTTTGATTTATTTAATTTTTTTATTAATTCTATTGCTAATATTTGGTAAATTTTTCTTCACAAAAGTTTATTAGTTTAATAAAACTAAATATCATTTAATTTTTACTAAAAATAAAAAAAGTAATAAAATTTATGAAAACTTACATCCTAAATTGATAGTTTTAAATCATTTGAGTCCTAGATTGATAGTTCTCCATCATTGGGGTACTATACCGATGCATTTCATCTTTCAGATCTCGGATTGATGATTCGTCTATCTTTCAGGTCCTAGATTGATATAATTCCCCAAAGAATTTTATACATACATATCTAACAATAGTTTATAAATATCCATCAAATCGTAACAAAATATTTATATTTACAATAAGTATTTTTTTAGTATAAAGAACTAAAAATACAGAATTAAGTATAGTTACTTTTTACAAGTTATTTGCACAACTGAAAGTTTTCAATAGATGGACCCAAGTATTTTATTCCCCTTTAACAATTGATCTATCCAAATTACACCGTTTATTTTAAAGCCCGTATAGAATCACCTTTCAACTTTATATGCATAGAGCTGCATCACTTCATGGATTTGGTTGTCAAATTTAGAATGGACTTTATTTTTCTTGACTAATTAACCACATACTCCTTAGGCCCCCAAGAACGGTTGAACAGTTATCTGAAGATTAAATTGAACCTTAATCACACGCTGATGAAAAGAAAGTGTTGTTCTAGCTCAAGTCTTTACTTGAAGTTTAACCTGAGGGCTCAGACCGTTCTCTTGTGACACCCATATCCATAAGTTGAGCTAGTTTTTCACCATTGTTTAATAATCAGTACGACACTAATACGTAGTATAGTGTAGTAAGGTTCGTATCCACAGGGAAAGGAACACTTCTCTTTTTATAGAAATAGATAAGTAACAACAAGTTTTTTTATGTTTAATTGATGAGCTTAAATTATATTTAAGCACGAAGATGAACGAGTTATGTGGTTTAATTAATGAGAAGGAGACTTGGCTTTGCTTTTATCCACTTAATGAAATGTTCGTCGATCCCGATTATATCTTTAACTATCTTCCTCTCGAATACTCAATCGAGGAGTATATCCAATTCATCAAGGGTAGTTATTAATAACGATACGCGTTCATTAATAAAACTTACTACCGAGTTAATATAGAACACACGCCATATATTCACTCGATAGTAGCAATAAAATATAGATGAAAACGATTGAGATTGATAACCTCAACACAAGCGGTTTATCGGTTTAATCAATATAATTAATTCCCCTTAGGTTATTAACCATGAGACGCATGCATTAACAACCCAAGTTTACTACCGTGAAAGGATCGAATTAATAACAAGCGTATTAATCGACCGATTCTAGTATTAATTAATTTATGAAACAAAACTAGTTGATCCTTTAAGTAATGCTCAAAATATTAATATGTAATAGGAATATGAATTAATTAATATTCAAGGAAGAAGATTAAAGAAAATAACTCACAACTTACAATTCATTAAGATTCAAAGTAGCAAAACCAAGATGGAAGAGTTTAGCTCCTCATTTGGAGACTAAACATGAAGAAAATATAAATAAATAACTTGTCTAAACTGAGCTTAGAAGTATATAGGAATTGGTTCTTTTTTGTGGGAAGGAAAGGGGTCTATTTATAGGGAAATAGAGCATGCAGGTGTGTACCCGATCGGGTATAGAAGGCTCCCGATCGGGTACACTCAGCGGCTTCCCAGAAGGTGAAAAATAGGGTTATACCCGATCGGGCCTGTCGGTCACCCGATCGGGTATGACAATCGAACATGGTCAAAATCTTTCCCGCATGTTGCTTGGTCCCTGGGTTGATCCGATTTGATTTTTCAGAAGGGTACCCGATCGGGTATAGGTCATACCCGACCGGGTACAGACCAAAAACGAGATCTTCACCTTTTTGTCTTGCATTTTTGCACTTTCCTTCCATTTGTGATGTTCACCAATGGTCCCCAAAGTGTTCTTGGACCTGTTTGAGCTCAGAATAAACCTAATCTAAACAAATTACAAATATTTTACAAACTAAACTATTACACCAAATTAAAAGTGTGTAATTTCCAAAGTAACAATCATTCTAAACTAATTAAAAACATAAATTTAAACATGGAAATTACATGAATGTCAGGGGCGCCACAGTATGGATCAATTTGGCTTTGATAACATGCGAGATTACATCATAAAAGATCACTTTATTGGAGTAGCCCACATCTTAATATATCATTTAAATATTTAGAAATATCCGGTATGAAACCAAAACAATTAATCCCCAATATATCACAGAGCATATACTCCCACGAGTCCTACCCTCATTCTCCTTAAAGCTTTACAAACTTTTCTTTTTTTGGTTGTCCCATTAACATTGTCACTTTCCTTTTTAAGTAATGAATTAGTGGTTTTAATTAATTCTCTCCTGCACAAACCTCAACCACACAATTTTTACTTTATTAATTCTCATATTGGTCAAACTTGATGAAGTTTTAAGGGATCGGCCAAAGTCACTATGAAACACATGATATACATGCATACATGTCCATATTAGGGAAAAATGCATATTATTAGTTATACTCCGTATTTTGTTAAATAAATACACAAATTTATGGTCATATAAGAGGTAATATTCTCAAATTTCAATAGAAGAACTATTCAATTATTTAGTTCGAACATAAGAAGCAGGAATCAGCCTTCAATAAAACAGAGTTTTTTTCTTAAATAATGCTAACAAACAAAATATTTTCATAATTGATGTTGAGTCAAAATTATTTCCCAATCTACTGCTCCACAAACTCTAGTTACACCATGGGAAGCCTACGCATGACTACCGTAGGGGTCACTGAAAAGCACACAACAATTGGTAGAAGAGCAATGGTGGGACCCAATAAAATAAAAAATCCCATTTTTCTTAGAAATGCTATAACTTTTATATTTATGCTCCGATTTTTCAAAACAATATATCATAATTCATAACTTTTTATTATCTTTCATATGACACCAATATTGTATATACAAAAAATAAATAATAATTTAACTCTTTAAAAATTTCATGTATTTTAAAGTATTAAAACTTTTTTTATTTGTATTCTGATTGTTTTAAAACATACTCTCTCTGCCCCCTATAATTGTCTTCTTTTTCACTTTTGGATGTCCTCCTATTATTGTCACATGTCATATTTGTTAACATTTGTGTGACTCTAATTCATTCTTACTTTATTTCCACTTTATCAACTCATTATTAATCACATAATTCTATTTTTCTTAAAAATCACACCACTTTCTTATGTTCCAATATTAGGGGGCGGAGTAGTATATATAAAAAATTTCATAATATTTTATTATATTTTATATGACACTAATATTTCATAGGTAAAAATAAATAATTATTTGGTACTTTAAGAATTTTTTTAGAGTTATACCTTTTTTAGTATAATTTGGTACCTTTTCTTTAAATATTTCTGGATAATTTTTTTTTAGTGTTATACCCTTTTGACTAATAAATACATAATTTATCACGTTAAAAAAATCTCAATTATTTAAATTGCTATTACTTTTTTATTTGTAGTCTAATCGTTACATATAATATATCAAAATTCATAACTTTAAGAATGAGCACGAGACACTACGAGGCGATTATTTTAAAAAGAGTGTCTCAATTCAAAGTACGGTTCTTCTGAAAATTATAGAACCAGTACCCTCGAATATGTATAGAACATGTCCCGTTCTGTATCAATTTTTTATACGGATGGATATAGTTCTTAAATACTCCCTCTCAACTATTGAACTTTGTCAACTTTCGCTTTTTGATTATCTTAAAAATTATACATAGTAGTACTTTAAAAATTGTGAACTTTTTTAAAGTGCTAAATTATTGTCTATTTCTATATATGAAAATTAGTAACAAATGAAAGATAATAAGAAATTATGAGTTTTGATGTACCTGGAGTACCAAAAAAGGTATAACACTAAAAAAATTATTAGAGTACCATATTTAATTATTTTTACTATGAAATATTAGTGTCATATAAAAAGAAATAATAAATCATTATGAATTTTGATATATACTACCTCCACCCCCTAATAATTAGACAAGATGAAGTGGTATATTTTTTAAGAAAAGTAGAATTATGTGGTTGATAATGAGTTTATAAAGTGGTAATAAAGTAAGAATGAATTAGAGTCACACAAATGTTATATTAACAAATATGACGTGTGACATTAATAGGGGAACTTCCAATAGGGGAACTTCCAAAAGTGGAAAAATGGAATAATTATAGGGGGCGGAGAAAGTATGTTTTAAAACAATCAGAGTACAAATATTTTTTTAATACTTTAAAATACATGAAATTTTTAAGGTGTTAAATTATTATTTATTTTTTATATATACAATATTGGTGTCATATGAAAGATAATAAAAAGTTATGAATTATGATATATTGTTTTGAAAATTCGGAGAATAAATATAAAAGTTATAGCAATTTTAAGAAAAATGAGATTTTTTATTTTATTGGGTCCCACCATTGCTCTTCTACCAATTGTGATTGCTTTTCACAACTCCTTCGGTATTCATGCGCGGGCTTCCTATGGGCTAACTAGAGTTTGTGGAGCAGTAGATTGGGAAATAATTTTGACCCAACATCAATTATGGAAATATTTTGTTTGTTAGCATTACTTAAGAAAAAAACTCAATAAAACAGCCCAAACAATAATTGGATTTAATTCAATACATGGATACAAATACAATTAAGCCTTGATAAAGAATTGGCTCATTCTTGACAAGCTAATGATACATTAATTTAATACCCTCGCTATCAACAGTGGTTGGGAGGCACATTTTAGATCAAGCAGGCATATTACAAACAGTGGAGTGAATTGAATTGAAGCTTCAACATAAATTCACAAAACCAAAAATATAAAAAAAGGAACAGATAATATTTGTGTTAATATATATAGGTTGTGTGATATATAATTATTTTATTATAAGTTCATTATGAGATATCTTTCATTTATTAATTAGTTTAGTTGAGAGGCAGGTTGAAGCTTGAGTTTACAAGCCCGACAAGTGATTTGGGAGAGCGTGGAGTTAATCTGGCGAATGGCATGTTCCCTTAATGCCACAGCTTTCTCCATATCCTCCCTTGCTTGCTGCCTAATCCTCTTTGCATTAGCAAACTCTCTCTCCGCCGTCTCTATCTCTCTCCTCGCCTCTTTCCTCGCCTCCTCGGCATACGCCTTCTCCGCCATTGCCACCCTCAATCTTCCCGCGTCTGACGATGATGATGACGAACCGATCGACAGCTGCAATAGTTGCGATGGCGTGGAATCATCCTCGCCTTCATTTGATGTCGCGGGAACGTCCAATAACCCGCGACGGGTCGGAGTGGAGCCCGACATTGTCGCTGTTGCGGTTGCGGTTGTTAAGAGCTGAAGCTCCAGGTTGTGTTTATCACGCGCGTTGTAAAAGTTGTTACTCGACGCGCCGAGTATGTTCATAGGAGCGGTGGTCGTCCCCGCGGGATTGTTGTGGGATGACGGCATGAGGAGGCCGGGCCAGCAGGATGCGGCGGCGCTGAGATTGGTGTCGCTGGATGGACTTGCGCTTGAGGCGGTGCGGGATATGCAGGGAGCAGCCGTGGGTTTAACGTGGGGTTGTGATTCCGGCCGGCCGATGCGGCCCATGCTACAAGCGTCTTGGTGCTCTATAAAGCTCTCCACCCTTTCAATAAAAGAAAAATAGATAGAGTTAATTAAATAAATTTAAACCAACTTTATTAAGACTACTTATTTCATTTTAAATATTCACTCACTGTAATAAAATTGTTCCCGGTTTGATTTGGATCAGAGTTTAAGAAAGTAGAAATAAAATGAAAATGTATTGTCATGGTTTAGTAAGAAAAAAATAAATTAATGTTACCTATACAAACTTTCCTAAAAGAGAAATGTGAAGATTTTTTTAGAATTTTTGACATTCCAAGTAGGTGGAAAGAATTTTAGGGACATATAGATTAATTTGTAATAAATGATCAAGATTGTTTGATCATAAATATGACATTCTAATTTTCTTACAATTACTACCTCCATGGCTCCATACAAAAAATAACTCATGAAAAAATATAATTTTGTAGTTGATATTGTCCGTGCAAAATACTTCGTATGAATGATATGATCTCACAGACAGAAGTATTAGCAAACATGAGATGTGACAAATCTAACAGGATACATATAGAGCATTTGGCAGATATATTATTAAATAAAGAAAAATAATTGTGTCGTGGATAATTTAATTCTAAAAATAAGGAAGATTGTGAACCAAAAAAAATGGCCAAATATCCTATTAACCAATATTGTGAGCCATTAAATACGACTATATAGGGTATCTGATCTAGGACCGATCATAGTAGAAAGATAGGGATAAACCAAATGAGACATGGAGTAGCATAAAAGTACTAGTGGACAGTTTGATTTAATACATACAAAATACTTAAATATTAAATGATATTGGTAACATTTTAAATATATTTTAAGCAATCTCTATATTATTAAACGAACCTACTATACAATGACAAACATGTAAGATCTAATTTAAAAACCCCATTTTGAGACGGACAAATTTAATTATTGTACGTATGTGTTAGCCGGATCGAGTCGGAGCAATAACGAAATTAAAAGTGTAATGATTATTCTACAATACTTTTGTGTGCAAAATGTTAAAAATAAGTAGTGGAGCTAATAAATTAAACCCAAAAAACAAAAAGTGGTCTTTTAAAATGTGAGGTAGTGATTTAATTTTGGTGGATATTAGCTTTATTAAGGTGGAAAAGTAGAAGAAACAAAGGACAATGGGAAATGGATGGCATTGCATGAGATTCACATGTGCCCTCATTGATGAATGAATTGAGTAGAAGCTAAACTATATAGCTTAGGCGGTATGGAAACGGAAAAAAGGAAAAAGGGAGAAGAAAAGAGAAACTTAAAAGCAGAAGTTAATTAGCTAGAGAGAATCGCAAAAGAAGAAGCTAAAGCTTTGAAAAAAGCAGAAAAGAAAAAGCGTCCACTTTATGCGTGTCAAACCCAATTCCCAAGGAAAAATAAGTTTGTTTTTTGTAGTCAGAATTTCATCTTTATCTTCTCCTCTGAACAGTCCAAGAAAAATACAAAGATCCATTCATTTCCAGTTAATTTGGTTCAACAATCCTGTATTCCTGTATTCCCTGTTTTCAAAATTTTTGTGCCACTTTTCTTTCCCCACTGTTTTAAGACTATCATTTTTCTCTGTTTTTTTTTTAATCCCCTAAAAACCCAACACAATTTCAAAATACTTATCTTACTTTCTTTTGAGTTTTTGTTTAATATACCCATCCCGGCCAATTCCTTTATAAAATGACCTACTCAAAATGCACTACACTACTTTTTGTAGTGTATTGGAAAATCTTCAGTGCGAACTCCAATACTCTTTCTGAAACTACATGAAACATTTGGAGAGTATTTTGGAACATAAAAGATACAGTCTTGAGTCTTTATCACTCACATCAAATATATTAAACTAAAAAAATAGCCAAAAAAATTGAATATTAATCCAATGATTATTGGGATCTAAATTATAGAATTATTGACAAAGGCATGACTAAAATAAAAGTAGTGTACAAAATTATGTTTTTTATTTTATTTTATTTTACTTTTAGTGACTATGATGGTATAGTGGCCATAGTCATAGTTTACAAAATTATGGTACAGTGGCCATAATCATATATTCATAATAATTTTGATCATTTTTGCATCTGTATATTATTGATACTTAAGGAAATATATCTTATTACTACGTAATAAGTAGTATGAAATATTGACGACTACAAGACCGAAATAAAGATAACATATAAAAATATGTTTTTTTTATAGATTTAGTGAATATCATGGTAACTTTAGCCACTGTGCGTAATAATTATAGTAATATTTTTATTCACATGTTAGATGAAGTATTTGAACAATTTTTAAGGAAAAACTTCAATTATTCTGATATTTTTTTAAATATTACTGAAATAAAATATATTGACGAAAATATAACTAAAAATTACAAAGTACATTAATATACTATTATGGTATTTTTTCCTGTAAAAATTAAAGCAACTAAACTTACTACGTAGTACTATATATAATTGCTGCATTTGAAACTTCACATTTTTGTAAATAAGGTTTATTTCTTCATCATAAATATATTCCCTGTAATTATTTTTTTTATATTATGATTGTTATCAAACATATACGTAGTACTCGGTAATAAAAAATGATTGAGCATCGATCTTCAATTCTTCCATAAGGGAGGGGGAAGGATAATAATGATTGAAAATGAAGAAGCGAAAAGAGATGAGAGAAGGATTTAATTATTACCGGGAGAAAACGCGGCCGCAGTCGCAGGAGTGGCCGCGAGTGCCGCAGGTTTTGAGGTGGGCCTTGAAGTCCGACTGCACGGCGTAGGCCTTGGAGCACTTGTCGCACACCCACTGCTTGTGGCTGCTGTGCTTCCGCCGGAAGTGCTTCTTGATTCCGACGAGGTCGCCGAGCGCGTGGCACGGGTCGTGGTGGAGGCACGTCGGCTCCGGGCACACGAACACCCGCTTCCGCACCGCCGGCGTCTCCCGCTTCAGCAGCTTCCACGGCACCTTGTGCCGCCGCCGGTGCATCTGCAGGTTCTGGTCCCTCTGGAACCCCTGGTTGCAGATCTCGCACACGTACCTGTCTGACTCCAGCAACGTCTTCGGCGACAGCGACACCACCTCCGCGTCCGGATCTGCTCCGCCGCCGCCACCCATTTCTCAATTTCATTAATATTTCTCATTTTCGAATTATAATATTCTTTCATTAATCAAACAAAACAAAACATTACAAACATCCCTCATCCCCTCCATCCCCTTAACAATTATTAATGTACTAGCTAGCGAGTTAGCCGAGTTCACCACAAACAAATTACGGGATAGATTAATTTCGTCTCCAAATGTTGCACGGAAACGCGAAAATATGAAAGAAACGTGACACAAAAAAAAAGCTTGTTTGGAAAGTTTATAAAGAATTTTCGTAGAGTTTCAGAAAGTTTCTGGTATCAAAATGTTTTTGGATCCCTGCCAAATCCTTCCGGTTAATCCCTGCAAAAAATCTTTCCATTTCATCCCGCGTTTTTTGTAGTGATTTTTTATTGCTTGGGTTTTCAAAGTATGATAAGAATATAAAACCCAAAAAAGATTTAAAAATAAATAAATTTATTGGAGTACGTACCCGGAGTGCCGGCAGGGCGGCGCTTCCGCTTGCTGTTGCTGCCATCATCCAAAGTGGGGAAGGGCTCGGAGGAAGAAGAAGGAGTGGCGCTGGTGTTATTGTTGTTGCTTAACATGGCTCTCTACCTAAATAATTAACAATATCTGAAAATAAAATAATGTTTTTTATTGGATCAATTTGTTCAGTGCTGAACAGAGAAATGAGTAAAACTTAGGTAGTGACTTTGGAAGATGATGACTGTGGAATGTATACTGTATACCATATATATAGTGGTCGCTCTGCTAGCATCTCATATATATACAGACAGAGACATAAACAAATATTATTATTAATATAATAATGCTCAATTGAAAAGATGTTTTTAATACTCCGTATATAGATGTTTGATTTTTAGTTAGTTAAAATAAAAGTGTTGTAATCACCAAAAATAATTAAAAATAAAAGTGTTGTAGAAAAATCATAAATATATGATATTTTAATGTTTAAGGAAAGAGGGTTTTTAAAAAATATTATTAAATTAAATTTATTTGCAAAAATATGACTAATAATTACTATAGCACAAATTAAAAGTGAATTTATTTTTTAAAATAAATTTATTTTCAAAAATATGACTAATAAATATGAAAAATTTATGTGTTTGATACAAATAAATAGAGGAAAGATCTCCTTAGACAGTCCGGACAAACTAAAAGTTATTTTAGATGAAAATGAGAATGAATTTTAATTATTGATGTCATAAAATATAGATGAGACCAAATTTTAAGTTCAAATCCTAATTGTGAAAACTTTAGTGAAAAATGTTGATAAGTGTATATGGATGTAGAACAGTGCTCGTTCACAGTACAATTAAAAGTGCCTCTGTAAAATAAATTATGTACAGTTTTTACTTTTTAGTTATATTATGATAAAAACTTCTTAGCAAATTTAAACATTGTTTTATCAGCGAAATGAAAGCTTATATTAAATCAATAAATCATTTGTCACTTGGTTGACAATACAATCAAGAATAGAAACAAAGCTAAATCGCTGATCTGAGATAAAAACATGTGATCGGGTTAAGGCATGAGCCTCATGATTTACAGACCTTCTACTAAAAGAGATATTTAAATTACTCTGTGTTTTCAAAATCTTTTGTATGTCATCAATGACCAGATGTAAATATTCCGATCCTTCTCCTTTCTTATGGCCCTGCACCACTGTAAGAGCATCCGTTTCGATATCCACTTTCTGTCAACCTGCCTAAGCTGCACACAAAATAGCATCTCGCACGCCCAAAGCCCATGTCTCCTTAATAAATCATTCTGCCTTGCTTGGAACTCCTTGAGCCTTAACAAATTCCCCTTTATCATCACATGCAATCCACCCCATGCTCAAATCCCCCCAGACTGATTGACCGCCGCATAAACTAACATTAAGTTTCAAGTATCCCGGCTTGGGCCGTTGTCATGCGGTCACACCATTTCTACCCATCACCATCGCCAATTGTCTCGCATTGCTATCTTGTGACTCCCTCCAGCTCGCCAACGTGATCCATCCAACATGGAGGACTCTTGCCGCCTCTTGTTTTTCTCCTTCCAAATCACATTGTTCTGCAAGTTTCATATATATACTCCATAGGATAGAGATGAATATGTTTCGAGCCTCCTTATTTGGGTGATCCAGCTTCTGCCGCAACCACTGCTCCACCTCCCTCTCGGTTTGAATTCCAGCTGCTAGACCTCCCTCACATGAGTACAAGACCAGATCTCATGGACTATGGACTCCTCCAAATCCCCACATAGTTGCAGCCGCCCTGTATGCTCAGTCCATTCCTCCTTAGTTTATCCACCGTTGGTAAGGTACCATCCAACACCTGCTAAATAAAATATTTGAATTTCATGGTAAACCGAAGTTCCTAGACCTGTCCCCACCCACTCCATTTCCCTACCTGCATATCCCCTATAAGTAATTTGTAGCAACGTACTTTTGAGTGAGAAGATTCCACTTCTTTCACCTATCCACCACAAACCATCTTTCTTGTCCTACATACTAATGAGAATACTCATAATTAGAGCCATATCAGCCGAAGTAAATATTTCCCTAATTCCTCATGATTCCAATGTTTTCATGTAAAATCACGAAGGGCAGTTACATTCATATCCCTTACCTCGACTGGCTGCATTGATGTAATTTTTCCAGATCCCAGTCCTGGTAGCCAGGTATCCGTCCAGACTTGAACATCAATACCATTCCACACTCTTCTTCTGATTTATTTTTCAGTATAGCTGGAGTCTAAAAAATACTTCTCCAAATAAAAGAACGATTATTACCAAAATTAGCACTTAAGAAAATAGAATTTGGGAAGTACCTTACTTTAAGAACATGGCTCATGAGACTTCCGGTTTCCGTGATGAGACGTCATCCTTGTTTGGTTAGCATAGCTAAATTAAATTCTCAAATCCTCCTGAATCCCAAACTCAAACCTCTTTCAGCTTGCACATAGCCTCCCAATGTCTCCATCTCAATTCTTATTGATCAAATTTTGAACCTCTCCACAAAAACTTATTCATCAATTGTTCAATCTCATCGCACAAGTCGTTTGGTAGTAAATAGACATTCATGGCATAATTTGGCATGGCTTGAATAACACTTCACAGAAGTATCGTGCGCCTTGCTTTGGACAAAAATCAATTATTTCAAATTTTTTATCCTGCTAAAAATCCGATCCCAAAGGTAGCCGAAGGTAGTGATTTTATTCTTCCTTACTAGAGCCAGCAGCCCCATGCATGTAATGATAAGTATGTATTTCGACATGCATTTGATGCATGTTGAGATCAAATTTTGATGATTTTCATAGGTTAAAGGTGTCATAAGTCTCATTTTTAGCTCAAGTCATATTTTATCGGCATTGGTTCATGTTTTCTATTTTTGAAGTCAAAATCAGGGAATTTGAGCCCAACACTGGCACTTGAAAAGCAATCGAACGAGTCAAGATGAAATCGAGAGAGAATCAAGATATTTGGAGGTCATCGGGTGTTCACGATGAAGATTAGATGATAAAAGAGCTCTAGGATTGGCTACGAGATCAAAAGAAGCCAAGTAGAGATTGAAAACGGCGATCAGAGTGACGTTCTGTCAATCATTCAAGCATATCTTTTTGTAGAAACATTTAAAGTACAAGATTCAAGTTCCATATGAAAGCCAACATCATGGACCACAAATCATATGGGACACCATTGCAAAAATCTGAGAGGAGCAGGGTGAAACTAAACGAGGAAGTCAGATAATCGTCGTTGAGGTTTCAGAATGCGATATTCCACCATTTTATTCATATCTTTTGATTGGATGATTGAAAATCTATTTTTTCAAGATTTGGTGGATAGGGAACTTTATTATCTACAACTTTCATGCACTAATAATTGTCAAATTTGGAAGGGAACGACGCACTCCATGCACCCGAAGTACGCACGCCGTGTGCGGAAGAAGAAAATCACGGGATAGCTATTGCCGGTCAGGCATGCCGTGCCTGACCCCGAGATGTGCGTTTCTTGCTCCATACACACTGGGGGACTCACGTTGTGCATGGGTGCCATGAGTGCGCTCCCAGTGTCCTATTTTGCCCAGAATTGCTCCATTTTTTCTATTTAAACAACCTGTAAACTCCGTTTTCAAGATGGAGCTTAGAGAAAGTGCCTAATACGAAATTTAGAGAACTTCTGAGCCTTGTTCATCAATATTTTGGGATTCTTTTTAAGTTTATTCTTTTTAATTAATGACAATTAATTCTTTTTATCTCAATTCTATTGATTCTTCAATTATGAATTGTGAGTAGTTTTAATTAAGGATTTGGGATTGATGAAGGGCTTAATCATGATGTATGGCTAATTTCTTGATGGTTTAAATTGCATGAATCCTTATTTAATTTGTGTATGAATAATTTAATTTATATCTCTTGTAACATAGAACGGCCGCTAGAATTATAATTGCATGTAGAATGAATTAAGAGAGATATAATTTATTCCAGGACACCTTCACACACACTTAATCGTTCGCTAAGAGATTAGTAACGATTAAGGGGTCGTACGCTCGCTCGTTTTGGCAATAATTTTAGATACCAGTCGCATGAGAGATCAATCTGGTTCCATAATTTATTGTACTCTACTATACGCCGCGAGAGCGATTAGAACTTAGTATTGATTAGCGTTGTTCAATTAAATAACTTTCATGTGATTAAGCCTGATCAGCGAGAAATCTGATTACCCCGAAATCAATCCTTGTTCTCTTCGTCATTAATTAGAAATAACTCCTTAGTTTAATCGTTTTATTCGCATTTTAAAATTTCTAAACCAATAATCTCGCACATTTGCATTTATTTTATTTCTTTTTAATCGCTAAATCTAATTAATTCCTGATTTCCTTTATCCGTCCCTGTGGAGACGATACTCGTACTTACACCCTTTACTACGATCTATTTTAAGTGCGAGAAAACTCACATCAGATAACGACTTTGCCCGTCCGCTCTCGGAATGCCCAAATACTGACAACAATAATCTTTGAATGACTCTCTCACGTTCTGGCTAAAGGTCAAAGAGGATTTATTAAAATTGACCATCTGCCCTGAATTTGTTTCATAGTGCTACAAAATACTTCTCACAATTGCACACTCACTATTAGTTGCTTTAACAAATAGAAAACTATCAGCAGTCTATCGGGTTAAAAAAATAGAAAACTATTATAAGCAATTAATAAGTGAGACACCATTGGCGCCTTTCTACAAACCGCTACCCCATGCACCTCCCCTATATCTTCACCTTGTCTCAACATAGCACTCAAACCTTCTGGCACCAAAATGAATAAATAGGGCGACAACGGACCCCCCTAGCGCTGCCCCCTCCTTGGAATAATGGGTCCCAAATATTCCTTCTCAAAGTGGATGTAATAGCTAACTGTAGAAACACATATCATGAAAATATCCACCCATCTGGAGCTAAACCTCATACATATATAACATAATTTCTTTTAAGAAATCCCAACTTTGTCATACGTTTTGCTCATGTCAAGCTTTAGAACTACATGTCCCTTCTTAATTACCAAAACATTTTCATTTTAAGGTGTGTTAAATTTCAAAGGCCACAATAATATTGTCAACTTTCGACCTACCAGGAATAAAGACACTTTGGTTCTCCCCCACTAACCCACCCAGAATAACCTTCAGCCAATTAGCTATAACCTTTGAAAAAAAATTATAAACTACATTAAATAG